CATAACAGTTATAAAAAGCTTCTGCAAAAAAATTGATAAAGCTCTGTACAGATCAGAGATATAGACTCTCAAGTACACCGACAAAAACCACAAAAAATTTCGTTAATAGAGTTCATTTTCTTTACATTTACGTCAAATCTAATTATTTCAGTTCATTATTATTTTTACTATAATATTTAATTCACTTAATTTATTTTCCGCACAATTTGCAAATTGCAAATGCAAATCTAATCAAAATGATATCGACACGTATGTGCTCTCAGTATCGATTATAACGATTCATCGACAAAGAAATTAATGCAAATAGGTTTTATTATCAATTTTAAAATGCAAATTATAAAATTCACACCACGTAATTGTAATTGCAATTGCCTAGAGGAAAAAACGAGATGAAAATGTTACATGAGAAACAAAATAAATGAAATTTTTAACAATTTAGTATGGTAAATTAATTAATAAAATTCTAGATTTTAATATTGTTAACTATCTGAACAATATTACTACACTAAACGTCAATATCTTTCAAATATATTATAATTATAATATATTATTTGAAATTAGCATTTAACGCGCGTTCTTCACACTCTAAGCATTCTGTTCAAAATTTACGTGCAGTAATTCTGAATCTGTCAAACGGACATTTTCATTATTTTGAATTTATATATAATAATGATATGAATATAAAAAAATTTTATCAACAAACATCATACTTCACTTCATGGAACATCCATACAAGTTATTAAAAAACAATAACTATAAAATATAATAGAATTGAAATTTGAATTTCAAATTTTAACGGTTAAAGCAAACGCACGAACTTCACACTCTAAGCATCCTGTTCAAAATTTACGTGCAGTAATTTTGATCCTGTCAAATTAATACACAATTTCATTATTTTTAAATTACATATATAATCTTGATTAATATTTTTGTCTAAGTTGATTTCCCCATTGGCAAAGAAAGCAAATACAATTAATAAAAAATGAAAATACATACTTTTACCGCCAAAATTTCTTAAATATATTGTTTACTTAAATCTTATCAAGATCATATATTTCTTGACAGATGTCCTGAAGATGGAACGTAAATAAATGATTTTTTAAAAAACTTTTTTGATTTTTATTACTTTTTGGATTATTTGTTCGAAGCTCTATGATAATAGTAATATAAGATAATAATAGATAAACACAATAAAGTTGAAATTTGAATTTCAAATCCCAACGGTTATTACAAAAGCGCAAACTTCACACTCAAAGCATTTTGTTCACGTTTAAAGTTTTCTTCGAGTAATTCAAGATCCAAACCAAGTAATTTAATTTTTTAAAGTAATTTATAAAAAATTTGGAAAAAAATATAAAGGTTATAATATAAGGTCGTAAAAGTTCATAAAAGGTCACTCTTTTGCATACTAAAATATTAATGTAGTTATTATTTCAAATAAAATTATAATGAAAACGATTTTAACTTATGATATTTAATACTAAAATTACAATATTGAATTTCATTAATTAAAAATAATAATTTTATTCGTACTAAATCTAGCTAATGATTACGTAACAATATTTTAATGAAATTCAAATTAATGAATATTCAAAAATTAAAATATATACATATGGATAATTAGATTTATGTAAACTAATTTAGTAATAGTAATTAATAAATATTAAATTTGGTTAATTTAAATAAAAAGAGATTTAATAACATCTGGAATAATTTATATTTTAATTGGCGATATAATATAATTAAATTTGTCATATTAATATAATTAATATGACAAAAATATTAATTATTTAAATAAATTTAATATGAAACACAAATGCACTTGCAACAAATGCAAATGCTTCACCGAAATAAAATCGTTTATGTGAAATATGAATATTGTTTCATAAATTTATATACATATATATATATATATATATATATATATATATATATATATATATATATACAAATATATAAATATTTATATGCAATTGCGATTAAAACCGTCAATTGCATATTAAATGGACTATTCGATCAAAAGATTATCTTTGGTATGATGTATATTGGAATTATCCAAATTGTTCGAAAGGATTATATGAAATAATTGCAATATTAATACCGCAATTTCAGTAATTGATATATTTATACCTATGTATAATATATATATATATATATATATATATATATATATATACATAAATATATAAATTTTCAACGCTGATTACTACTGAGGTTTATTAGTAGTATGAGTAATTTTGTTTGGTGGTTTTTAAAGTGTTCTAAAATTGTAATTATTAAAGTTAGATGAAAACTTTATATGAGAAATTTGTAAAGATTTTCACAAGTTTTATTTTTGCCTCACAAAGTTTTTTTGGTTTTGTAGAATTTTTTAAAGTTATTTAACAAAATGTGACAAACAACACATTTTCAACATAGAGTTTGAATAATATAGTTTAGTGGTTTCTAAAAAGTTGTAAAATTGTTATTAATAAAATTAGACAAAAAGTTTGTATGTGAAGATTGTTGTAGATTTTATAAGCTTCATTTTTGCCTCACAAAGTTTTTTTGATTTTATAGAAATTTTGGAAGTTATTTAACAAAATGTGGTGAAACACACATTTTTAACATATATTACTACAGAGATTTAGCAGCAGTTTTAATAATGTTGTTTGTTGGTGTTTAAAGTGTTATAAAATTGCTATTACTAAAGTTAGATTAAAAGTTTGTATGAAAAGTTTATTAAGAATTTTATTCATTTCATTTTTGTCTCACAAACTTTTTTTGATCTTGTATAAATTTTGAAAGTTATTTAACAAAATATTGTAAATTGTACTGAAACATTGGTTGATTTTATACGTGAGTTTGTTTCAACTGATACATCATTTTTACTAATTTATTAATCAAACTAATTTTTTATTTTAACTAATTTATTGTGTCATAAGTTGTGAATTTGTTTTGTAAATGTACAGACTATAAAAAACCATTTTTAAACGTGTTTTTATATCATTTTATAAACAACTTTTGACTTTATAAAATCCTTTGTTCACGTTTCCAGCTTTTTTACATAATCCTTAATAAGATTAAAAACGTAACCGGAAAAAAATATTTTGCACGGATATTTTAAATATGATGAAAATATTTAATATTATGGCAGTATAAAAGTAGATTATAAAATTTTGTTAAAAACATTATGAACCAAATTCAAAGTTTGAGGAAGTACTCTGAACTATTCAGATAAAAAGACACGACTTTTTTTTAGTTTTTCTCAAATGACTCAATAATTATAAAACTCATGCAAAAATGATATGAAAGAAAAATAAAGTCTATAAAATCCTTAATAACTTTTACAAATAAGGTATAGACATAATTTAATAATTTAAAATTTTACAATACTTTAAATACTAACAACTTGACTATTATCTGAAATATATGCTATAATGTTATCGATTTTTGTCAAATAACTCAGTAACTATAATAGATACATAAAAACACTATTAGACAGAAATAGAGACAATTAAATCCTTAAGAACTTTTCTAAACAAAGTATTCAATTATCTTCAATACAAAAAAATTTGCAATATTTTGAAAACCGCGCAACTAAAAATATTGAACGCTTAGACTAAATAACTAGTCAAACTGCTTTTAACGTAGACGCATTTTTGTAGTTTTTATCAAATCAATAATTATGGAATTTACAAAAAAGTAATATTAGACTAAAATAAAGCCTATAAAATTCTGAATAACTTTCTCATACACACTATTGACCTATCTTCAACGAAAATAAATATACAACATTTTAAAAACAAAGTAACAAACTATTCATTTCTCAGTCGAAAGTGATGTGACATTTAGTTAGAGCATTTTTCTAATTTATTTAAATAACTCAACAATTTCATAACATACCAAAAAATAGTATAAGACAAAAATGTAATTTATAACATCCTCAATAACTCTTCTAAACAACATATAAACACACATTCAATAATAACAATATTACAATATTTTAAAAACTTAGAACTTTACTAGCTGCTGAAATTTTATAAGGACATTTTCACAGTTTTTGTCAAATATCTCAACAATTATAAAACTTATACAAAAACTCTCTGAAGCAAAAAGAAAGCTAAATATTAAATAATTTTTTCAAACAAAGTATTGACCTAACTTCAATACAATCAATTCTACAAACTGCTTAATTGTACAGTATCAAATGTACTGCTTATAAAAAATTAGTAAATGCATTTTTTAGTTTTGGTCAAATAACTCAATAATTATGAGAACTACATAAAAATACTGTTAGACAAAAATAATTTCAATAGAAATTATAATTTTCCTACACAAGGTATTGACATACTTTCCACACAAATAATATTATAACACTTTAAAAACCGCGCGACCAAGTATTGAACGCTTAGTCAATCAAATAAAATGGTTTGGACAATTTCGTCAGCGCATTTTTCTAATTTTTATTCAATAACTCAAACTTATACAAAAACAGTTTTAAACGAAAATAAAGTATATAAAATTTTAAAAAACTTCTCTGAACAAACCTACTCTCTATCTCTTAACCTACTCAAACTCTATTACCTTGAACTGTCACCCTTTCTACCTACAAAGTATCCTTCCAATTAAACTGATTTGAACACTTTTTTTAGTTTTTATAAAATAACTCATTAATTTCAAAACTTACACAAAAACACTTTGCGACAAAAATAAAACCCACAAAATTTAAAAAAACTTTTCCTAACAATCCTACACTCTATCTCTTAACCTCCTCAAACCCTACCCACCTTGAATTTTCACCCTCCGGCCAATCAAACTCAATAATCTGCGCATTTTTTAGTCTTTATCAAATAACTCTTTAAATACAAAACCTACATAAAAACACTTCAAAACAAAACCAAAACCCACAAAATCCCCAAAAACTTTCCCAGAACAAACCCACCCTCTATCTCTCACCAAACTCTCTTTTTCCTCACCTGCAAAGCGTCCGGCCACTGGCAGCCTTCGCTCACTCCACCTCCAGTAACATTGGTGACCTTCTCGTCACTTCTATCGCTGCTTTCGGTGGCGATTATAATATTTTTCGAGCCCGTCAGGACGCCTCCACTATTTATGACCGATGTAGAAGTCGTTGTGGAGGGCACCAGGTCCGGACAAAGGGTTCTGGAGGCCGTGTTTTTGGCGTATTGGGCTATCTGGATGCTTATGCTGGTTCCGTGAGGGCATTTCAGGGTCACCATGTCGTCGCCGCACCCTGTTCGCTGGAAGGTTCTGAGGGTTCCTGAGAGCAGAGCTGGAAGAGGAGAGAAAATTAGTGAAATTGAATAAATGCAATATTGTAGTTGAAGAAAAATAATTTAAAGTAGTATTTTGTTTTTGAAGTAAAACTTTCTTAGGCGTGACTGAAGGGTAAATGTTCTACAATATGAAACTGATAATAGGATTCGGCTTTTATAAACTTTGATTCGATATTGGTCGTTAAATATGATTCAATTAATGACGAACAAATAAAAAACTTAACTTTAGTCAAAACCAAATTACATTAATTTTTTATACTGAAATTTTGTGTCATTTTTTTAAAAAATTAATAAATTTATTATTCTTCAAAATATTTTTATAAATATAAACATATGGGGTAATTCTGCCATGATGCAGTAGTTATCATAATATTCTTTCTTACTGTGTTTATATGTAAAATGCGCCTGATAGTACGGCAAACAATATACGATGTGATATACTCACAGCGTTCCCATGACTACACTATTTTATGAAGCTCTAAAACTTATAAACAATTATTTTAACTCATTTGGGCTCATTTACACACTTTTAAATTCATGTAGATTTATTTAAATTTACTTGAAATTATTTATACTCATTTAGACTCACTAATGCTTATTTATATTCATTTATATTGATTTATATTCATTTAAACTCACTTAGGCTCATTTAGACTCATTTACACTTATTTGGACTCATTTATGCTAAATTAAACACTTTTAGACTCAATGAGACAAGTGTAAATTCTCTCCAACTTATTTATACTCATTTACACTCACTTATGCTCATTTAAATTCATTTAAACTCACTTAGGCTCATTTAGACTCATTTACACTTATTTGGACTCACTTGGGCTCATTTACACTTATTTAGACGCATTTAGGATCAATTACACTCTTCTAGACTCATTTAAATCCATTTAAATTCACTTGAAATTATTCAATTTCATTTAGACTCACTAAGACTCATTTAGGCTCGTTTAGACTCACTTGTGTTTATTCATACTCACTTAAATTCATTAATATTTATTTAAACTCATTTAGGCTCAATTACTCACTTTTAGACTCATTTAAATCCATTTAAATTCACTTAAAATTATTTATACTCATTTAGACTCACTTATGCTCATTTTATTAATTTAAACTCACTTAGGCTCATTTACATTTACTAAGACTCATTTGGGCTCAATTTCTCACTTCTAGACTCATTTAGATCAGTGTAAATTCACTCCTACTTGTTTATACTCATTTAGACTCACTTATGCTCATTTAAACTCACTTAGACTCATTTAAACTCATTTACACTTATTTAGACTCATTTAGGCTCAATTACACTCATTTAGGTTCATTTAGATCCATTTAACTTTACTTGAAATTATTCAAACTCATTTAGACTCACTTGTATTTATTCATACTCACTTAGATTTTTTAATACTTATTTAAACTCATTTCGGCCCAATTACGATCATTTACACTTTTTTTCTTTCACTTATACTAATTTAGGTTTAATTGAATTTTTTTAGGCTCATTTAGACTCATATAAACCCATTTAAATCATTAACTTCTAAATATATTTAAACTAACTTAGACTCATTTAAACTCACTTAAACTCATTTACACTTATTTACACTCATTCAGAGTCATCTAGAATCATATAAACTGATTTACGGTTCGTACACAATCCCGAGGCGTTTTTGCAAAAGGCACGTCTTGCGTTTCGGAGGTATGGAGCGCACAGGGTGTAAAAACGGTTATGCAGTTTTTGAGAGAACGGATCATCCGATTAGATTAATTCAAACAAACTTTTGCTTGTGTAGACCGTGTGCAAAAAATGCTTTTACAGAAAATTTAGTTATTTTAAAAATTTTCAAAAAAATTCAAAAGTTCAAAATTTCGAAAGTTTTTATAATTTACAAAAAAATAAATGATATAGAAAAATTAAAAAAAAATATCACAAACTAAAAAACACAAAAATTTTAGATTTCGACATTTTCAAAAAAAAAATCGATTTTTTTTCAAAAATTCGAACTTATCAATTTTTTTCAACATTCATCAGTACAGTTCCTTTCCATCTCATTCTTTGTCTCACGAATCCATGTCTCCGATCCCTACTGATCACCGTGTCCAAAGACATTATTTTTCCTCCGGATTTTCCTCCGGAGATGGCATCCCAGTGCAAAATTTCCGGTTGTTGCATGTCGTGCAGCACACCGGAAATTCTCTATGACTTCATGAATGCAGTAAGACAATGCTGACAACATAAAAGGAGATTAAATAATAGATTAAGTAGCAGAAGATGACGACAGGGGCGCTGACGGCGGAGGAGGACGAGGAATGAGTTTTAAGATTGCAAAATTTATATTAACATTATTTTATTATAAGAGAAAAACAGGGTTGAAGTATTAGTGAGAGAGTTGGTGGTGCTTGAGTAATAATTTGATAGTAAAATTTAATAAACATGCAAAATAATGAAAAAAATTGTGTGATGACAATTTTGGTGACCAATGAATGAGGAACGTAAAAAAAATGGCAATTCTCTGACAATTTTTTTAATTTAAGACTTATGAAATTTTTTTTTATAAGTATGATATCGAGTTTAATTCGTTAGGGCGAGATAGAGAAATTTTACTACGTAGTGAGAAAAAGAGACAGAATAAAGGAATGAGAGAGATAGAGACGTGTCATGACGTCCTCAATAGACTCCTAAACTACTGAACCGATTTTAATTTTTTTTGGCTCAACGTATGCATTTATGTCCAACTTAGGTTACAGGCTATATAACATTTTTTAGTTCAAATTCAAAATATTAAAATTTTATTAAATTCAATTAATTTTGACAGTCAAAAGAGCGAGAAGGACGCATGATAGTACGTAGTGACAGAAAGAGACAGAGCTATAAGGGAATGAGAGAGATAGAAGTGTGTCATGACGTCCTCAATGTACTTCTAAACTACTGAACCGATTTTGAATTTCTTTGACTCACCGTATTTATTTGTATCTAACTTAGGTTACAGGCTATATTAAAAATTTTAGTTCAAATCAGAAGTATTAAAATTTTAGTAAATTCGATGAATTTTGACAGTTAAGAATTTTAAAAATGTATGAAATGACAGTTGTCAATGTTTCTGGAAACTTCGAGATAAATAGATTCATGATTCTCATTTCATATACAAGTTCCCAAGAATATAATAAACTATAATTTATAGTCGAAATTTTATATTAACCATAAATCAGACAACAATTTTTTAGTTTAAAAAATTAATTGTTTTTGGGGAATTCAAATAAAAACAAATTTATTCTAATGCAAATAAAGAAAAATATTATTGAACCAATGACAATTTTTATTATTAATATTTAATATTATTTATTAAATGAGATGAAACATACAAGGTTACTAAAATAATTTAATAAAAAAGTAGAAAAATTAGTAGGAGAGTTGGTGGTTGATGAGTAAAAATTTGGTATAAAATTTTAAATAAAGTGAACAGAATGTTTATTAATAATGAAAAGTAAAATATTCGATGTAAAAATACAGACAAGGGGATGAGATAAATGTTATTTCATCAACTTACCGTAGGGTTAGTTATTGTGATCGTTCAAAAATCGAAATTGAACATTTTTGCATATCTTTACGTTTCAGAAATTTCTGAACATATTGGCATACCTTAGATAAAATTGAAAGGAGTGTAAGTGTGGATGCAAATGTTCGTCGTCGATTTCGAACGTACGGATCAATCGATTTGAATGATTCAAAAAACATTCCATTCCTATTGAAGTAGTGATTAGTTTTAGGCAAAGGCAGGTCCAGCCGTTTCGGAGAAACGGAGCAAAAAGTGCAAAAAATAGAAATCGAGTTTTTGAGAGAAGTGAAGTATCCTTAAACTAGGAAAATTGCAACTCACACCTAATTATAAAATTCTAAAAAACAAATAAAATGTTACCCATGTTATTATATTTTCATAAGAATTTTTATCTGGAATGCGATCTCTATTGGAGTTAATATTAAGAGCTAAAACTTTTAGAGAATAGTTATTTATTAATTTGAACCGTTGGGAGCAAAGAAATTCTAAAATATCCATATTAAGGACCACCCTAATATATATATATATATATATATATATATATATATATATATATATATATACCATGTCCATTTTCGTTTCCGTTTTAATGGAACTAAAACAAAACCGCGTGCAGTAAATTAAAACCGAATTATCTGTCCTCGCAGCCTGACTACATGGCAACAACGACAACAGCAAAACAACTAAACTAGAAATAAAATAGAACAACTAAATAAAAATCGTACTACAGAAATGCAGACGAACGAATGAACGTACTAATCGAATTAACTTTTGACATATGCAAAAATATTTTCATCGACAAATCAAATTAAATTGAAACATTCACACAAACATTTATATTTTTGTTTGTTTGATAGAGAGCGACTCGCCCCCGAGGACGACATACGTTTCGGATTATGAAATTAATGTCATGGGCGGATATATGGATATATATATATATATATATATATATATATTTATATATATATATATATATATAATAATATATATATGTTTGCGCCAAATCCAAGCGTGCGATTTATGATACAAACAAAATAGAATCAATCAAAAATTATTAAAGTCAATTAATACGATACTTGCAACATTAAAACTGTTGTAAATACAGGTACAATTTGTCATTATATTAAAATATACACATAAGATTATAATATCCTTTAAACTCGGATCCTAACGACTTACTTCACATTAATGAAGGATATTAATTATTTTAAAATCTTTATTTCAAGGCCGGTAGTATGTTCGCGCCAAATCAAAAAGTGCGAATAATGATACAAACAAAATAGAATCAATCAAAAATTAACATAAAATAAAGTCAATCAATACGATATATATATATATATATATATATATATACTAGCTGACCCGGCAAACGTTGTTTTGCTAAGTAAGGTATATTCGAAACAATTTCTAGAGAATCAAAAATATTAATACTTTAA